GACAAAACTATAAATAAAAAACTATGTGTGCTGTTATTCAATATCAGTAATGTGAAATGTTTTTATTATCTTAATATAGATGAATTAAAATACCCATTATATTGTTATGACATTTAAAATAATTAGCCATTATTTTACAACCAAGATAAATCTATAAAATTAATTTTACCTGGCTTTATGTGACTTTTCATTTCCATTCTTTCTTTTTTTTTTTCCTAAGACATGAATTGGAGGAAATTTTTCTGTATTTCAGTTTTCCATTACAAATATTTTATCTCAATGTAAGGGAAGAAAATAGAAAAAATACATATCCAGTTTTACTTTATTCTGGATTCCTTTGTGAATTGAAGACTTTAGATTCATCTGTCTGGTGGATGTGTAGTCACAATTATATAATGGGGTTAATTCATGGTCGGAGGGCTCATCACAGTTTGGGTATGTATTTGCCACACAAATGTGTAGTTTTGCTTCTGTATAATTTGAAGATACTGGGAACTTTATGCAAACATACAAGGCATAGGACAGCAATTTACTCTAATTCATCTTATGTTCACTTTATGTTTATTTCATGTTATGTTAATGTTATTTTTAAATCAAGTCTTCAAAACTTGAAATCATTTTTCACTTTATTTCATTAACTACTTGTGGTAAAGACACACAATTTGAGCCAGCTTGGCATTAGGATATGGAGTCAGAACTGAATTTTTTTCAAACTCTTACCACTCTCTAGCTTAGAAATGGGGTTTATTCACAACCTCTATGCACTTTAGTTTCTTTTTCTACCAAATAGAGATCAATAATATACCATGTTTACCTTCGCAGATTTATTATTATTCAGATCAATTGATATGTATTTGAAAGTGCCTCTTATCCTAAAAGTGTTACAAATTGCTCAAAGTTAGTAACACATTATATAAGCAGTATGATTTTGGCCATCTGTAAGATTGAATTTCTTCTCTCATAAAATGATACATACACTTAACTTCATATGTTTAAAAAATCAAATTATATATTATGTATACAATGTTTAATTTTTAGGTATAATCAGTATTATCATTATGTTATAAAATGTTTTTAAGTATTTAGTAAATTATTTAAATGTCAAGAAGAGAGTAAAATGATTCTTGTTTTGTTCAGAAGCAAGATCCTTCATTTATCTTTATCCTAAAACTTTCAATTCTACTATTTTAGCTTACATATGTCCTTCACTATAAAGAAAATTAAATGCACTAACATTTACTAAATGTATACTGTGTGATTGGTGTTATTGACACTAAGTTCATCATATTTTTTTCCACTTTTTAAATATCTGTACCAGATTATGTTGATGCCTTTTCCTTTCTTTCTTCTTTTGGGAGTTGGAGCCTGGGGTGCAAAAGTTAAATTGTGTGTGAAGTTATCAAGTTAGTAAATGTGGATCCGTGATTTAAATACATGGCTATCTCCCTACTCCTGTCTTTTTCACTGTAACAAGTGTCTTTATTCTAATGCTGAATTTTATTATACATTATGAATTAACTCATCTAATAGCACATAGGATTTTGCTAAAAATACTGTGCCATGGAATAAATATAATTTTATTTATACAGCAAAATAAAACCATCCCAATAATGAAATAATATAAAACAAAAGTAAATTCATGTTATACATTTAAAAGAATATTCACTGGAAGTATATGCATGGAAATGGCAAGTTGAATTTTAAAAATTGAAGCTCCAAATGGCTGACAGGCCATGACTCATATCAGCCTGAATTGTTTTTCTCCAGAGATGAATGAATTCCATAATTATAACTGGAAACTGGCAAAGCGTGATACTTCTACACAATGGAAAAAGCAAAGATCTACACTAATCACAAGCAGATGTACAGAAAACTGTAAGTCCTATATTCCTTTTGTCTTCTCAGTATACTGAAGTGAATCTTGGACACTGTGTGATTAAATCTATGGCAATCATTCAGTTAATTTTACCTTCATGAGGAAAGCAGAAATGACATCAACTCCAATATAATTTTGGAATATATGACAAAATTATGGTGCTAGAAACTATTGAGTTTAGGATCTTTTGGGGACCTGAAAAAAATGATGAGATTACTTATCGTGATAATGACAATTGAGATTAAGGGATCACTAAGAAACTAGCTTTAAGGAATACTAAATAGAAGTGAAAAACAGGAGAGAAAAGAAATTTTAAAAAAATACTCTATAGTTAAGTTCTTTAACAATATAGAAGTGATGACTTATTATTTACAGAAATGTTTCTGAGCATAATAAAGAAGTTATGCTTTTCAATGTCTTTGTTAAGCTAGAACATTATTGATAAGAGAACTTCAAATAGCTTACACAAAAAGGAAAACAACAGACCACCCTCACCTATACATTTTGATTATCGACTAAGAAATGAATTATTAACAAATATCATCACTTCACAAGAGTTAATTTAAGGAATTCAAATGTGCCCTATGCAAAATTCCTCTTTGGACTGAAATTTTCAGACATTACAAAAATTTAAAACACATGTGTCCTTGACTCAGCAATTACTGTGATAGGAATTTCTCCTTGAGAAGGACTGAAAAATATGCACAGGGTATATGAAATGTAGCATTATTTCTAATAGCGAAAACTAAGAAACTGTTTAAGTGTCCATTTGAAAAAACTAGAAAGTCTGTCAATAATTAGATGTCAATAATGTCCAGATGTCAATAAACTACAATGCAGCTGTTTATAAAAATTTGGCATCATTATAAGCCCCTATATGGAATAACCATCAGAATAACCTCTTAAGTAAAAAAAAATAATAATGAACAGATTATTTTATATAGCTTCTTAAATATGTGCTTTAAAAACATGGTTGAAGGGAGCAGTCTTTTATTTTTTATTTACAGTAGAGATGTAATAGTTACCCATATGTATGGGATACAGAGTGATATTTACACACAAGTGTACAGTGTGTAATGATCAAATCAGAGTAATCACCTCAAACCTTTATCATTTGTTTGTGTTGGGAACATTCAAACCTTTTTCTTCTAGCCGTTTGAAGATATGCAATAAATTGTTGTTGACTATAGTCTCCCTACAGTGCTATAGAACACTGGAAATGATTACTCCCCTCTAGCTGTAATTTTTTATCTATTAGCCAATCTCTCCAGATCCTCCCTGATCTTCATTTCCCAGCCTCTAGTAATCACAATTCTACTCACTACGTCTGTGAGCTAAATTTTTTTAGTTCACATATATTAGTGAGAACATGAGGTATTTATCTTTCTGTGCCTGACTTGTTTCACTTAACATAATGTCCTACAGACTCATCCATGTTTGAGAGAATGATAGGATTTCATTATTTTGTATGGCTGAATAGTATTCCATTGTGTATATATACCACATTTTCTTTATCCATTCACTATTGATGGGCCCTTAGGTTGATTCCATATCTTGGCTATTGTGAATAGTGTCACGATAAACATGGGATGCAGATATCTCTTCAATATACTAATTTCCTTTTCTTCACATAAATACTCAGTAGTGGGATTGCTAGATCACATGGTAACTCTATTTTTAGTTTATTGAGAAAATTTCCATTGTGTTTTCCATAATTATTGCCCTAATTTACATCCCTTCAACAATGTACCAACATTCTGCTGTCGCCGCATCCTCAGTAGCATTCTTTTTGTTGTTGTTGTTCCTGTCTTTTTGATAATAGCCATTCTAACTGGGGAGAGATGGTATCTCATTGTGATTTTTTTTATTTTTTGTTGAGCATTTTTTCATGTACTTTTTTGCTAATTGTATGTCTGTTTTTGAGAAATATCTATTCTGATCCTCTGCCCACTTTTAATCATATATATATATATATTTTATTTTATTTTATTTTATTTTATTTTTGCTGTTGAGTTCCTTGTATATTCTGGATATTAATCCCTTGTCATATGAATAGTTTGCAAACATTTTCTCCCATTCTACAGGTTGTCACTTCACTCCGCCAATTGTTTCCTTTTCAGTGCAGACACTTTTCAGTTTGACAGAACCCCATTTGTCTATTTTTGCTTCTGTTGCCTATGATTTTCAAGTCTTACCCATAAAATTTTTGCCTAGACATATGTCCTGCACTGTTTCCCCTATGATTTCTTCTAGTAGTTATATACTCTCAGGTCTTATATTTAAGTCTTTAATCCATTTTGAGTTTACTTTTGCATATGATGAGAGATAGAGGTCTAGATTCATTCTTCTGTATATGCATCCTTCTGCAAATGGTGCTCTTTTCCCAGCACCATTTATTGTAGAGGCTGCCCTTTTCCTAATGTATGTTCTTGGTGCTTTTGTTGAAAATGAGTTGGCTGTAAATACATGGATTTATTTCTGGGATCTCTATTCTGTTCTATTGGTCTGTTTATAGCAGTACCATGCTATTTTGGTAGTTCACGCCTGCAATCCTAGCACTTTGGGAGGCTGAGGCATGAGAATTGCTTGAGACCAGTAGTTCCAGACCAGCCTGAGCAAGAGTGAGTCCCCATCTCTACAAAAAAAAAAAAAAAAATAGAAAAATTAGCTTAGTGTGGTGGCTCACACCTGTAGTCCCACACCTAGGGAGGCTGAGGCAGGAGGATCCTTCCAAGTCCAGGAGTTTGAGGTTACAGTGAGCTATGATGACGGCACTGCACTCTAGTGCAGGTGACAGAGAGAGACCCTGTCTCAAGAAAAAAATTGAGGATTGTTTTTTTCAATTTTTGTGAAGAATGTTATTGGAATTTTGATACAGATTGCATTGAATCTGTAGATTGCTTTGGGCAATATGGTTATTTTAACAATTATTCTTCTATTTCATGAACATGAATGAGATGAATTTCCATTTTTTTGTGTTCTCTTCAACTTCATTCATCAATGTTTTATAGTTTGCATTGTAGAGATTTTTCATTTCTGTGGTTAAATTTATTCCTGGGTATTTTAGTTTTGTAGATATTATAAATATAACTGTTTTCTTGAGTTCTTTTTCAGCTGCCTTGTATATGGGAATGCTACTGATTTTTATATGTCGATCTTGTGTCCTGCAACTTTATTGAATTTGTCTGACACTTCTAAGGGTCTTTTCCCAGAGTCTTTAGGTTTCTCGAGATATAAGATCATATCATCAGCAAAGAGGAACAATTTGAGTTCCCTTTTCAATGGGATGCCCTTTATTTCTTCCTCTTGACTGATTGCTCTGGCTAGGACTCCAGTGCTATGTTGAATAAGAGTGGTAAAAATGGTCATCCTTGTCTTGTTCCAGTTCTTAGAGGAAAATTTTTAGCTTTTACCTGTTCAGGATAATGCTAGCTCTGGGCTAATCATACATGGCCTTTGTTGTTTTTAGGTACATTTTCTTCTACACCTAATTTGTTGAGTTTTTATTATAAAAAGATGTTTAACTTTATCAAATATTTTATAGGCATCTATTGAGAAGTTCATATTGTTTTTATGCTTGATTGCATTGATGTGATATATCACATTTATTGATTTGCATTTCTCAAACTATCCCTACCTGCCTGGTATGAATCTCATTTGATTATGAGGTATTATGTTTTTTTATTTGCTGTTTGATTCAGTTTCCTAGTATTTTGTTGAAGATTTTTGTGTTTATGTTCATCAGGGATATTGAAATAAGAAAAATATTCTCATTTTCTTCTCCTTGCCTGATTTTGGTATTATGGTAACGCTGGCCTCATACAATGAGTGAGCAAGTATTTCCTCCACTTTGTTTATTTTTTTTTTGACTAGTTTGCATAGAACTAGTATTAGTTCTTCTCCTCACAAATTGTTGCAGTAATTAATATTTTGATAGATTTATCTTTTAGTCTTCATACTAAAAATATAAGTAGTTTACACACCACAATTATAGTATTAGACTATTCTGAATTTGTCTGTGCATACTTTTAACAGTGGGTTTTGTGCCTTTAAATGTTTTCTTATTGCATGTTAGTGTCCTTCTCTTGCTACCTGAAGAATCCCCTTTAGTGTATCTTGTAAGACAGATCCGTTGGTGATGAACTCTATCAGCTTTTGTCTTGGAAAGTATTTTTCTTTGCATCATGCTGAAGGATAGTTTTGCTGGGTATAATATTTCAGTTTTGTTGTTGTTGTTTTTTCATTTAGCACTTTGGATGTACCATCCCACTCCCTCTACTCTGTAAGGTTTCTAAGATGTTTGCTAATAGATGTTTCAAAGTTCCTTTATATATTATTTACTTCTTTTCTCCTGCTTCTTCTAGAGTCATCTCTTTGTCCTTGACCTTTGAGAATTTGAATATTATATGATATAGAATAGTCTTATTTGGGTCAAATCTGCTTGGTAATCTTTAACTTTACTGTATTTGGCATACACTCTCCCAGACCAGCACCACACTGGGACTTGCCCACTCACCATGGTTGTTATGTCCAGTGGCCACTGAAATTTACTTGGGGTCTTAGGCTATTTTACTCAGCCAGTGGGGAAGTGGGCTAGGACTCCCACTCAGGTACCTTTGGACTGGCCAGTAGATTCTTCTCTGGCCCAAGGATGGTCTAAATGTTCCCTCTATGGGCACCAATCTGAAATCAAGGGCTGTAAGGACACCGTCTTGTGCTGTGTTCCAATGTGGTAGGAACAGCACTAAGTTACAATGCAAGGTCCAATGCTAACTTTCATTTCTTTCCCTTTAGCAAGCAGTTTTTTTCCTATGCACTGTACTGCCTGAGGTTGGGGGAGAGATGGTTTAGGCAATGTGAGACTTACCTTTTTAACCTCTTTAATGTGTTTTTTTCACCTTGTCATTATGCTAAAATCAGGTACTGTGATAGTTCACCTAATATCTTTAGCTCTTTTGAATGTGCTTTCTTGCATGGGTAGTTATTCAATCTGATATTTCTGTGAGAGGACAATTGTTGAAGGGTTCTAGTTGGCCATTTTGCTCTCTTGTCTTTTTCTTAATTATTTACTGGTGGTTTTGTACACGCTTTGTGTCTTTCTCCTCTCTTATTGTTTATCTTTGTGATTTGATAGTTTTCTGTAGTGAAAATGTTTGATTCCTTTCTGTTTCTCATTTGTGTGTCTGCTCTACCAGTGATTTATACTTTTCTGTGTTTACATGATGGTAGATATTGACCTTTTGCTTCCAGATACAGGAATCCTTTAAGCATTTCTTGTAAGGTCAATCTAACAGAGATCAATTTTCTAAATTTTCATTTTTCTAGGAAAGAATTTATTTCTCCTTCAATACTAATGACTAGCTTTACTAGGTCTAGTATTTTTGGTTTAGAGAAATTCTTCCAACACTTGGAATATATTATTCCATTCTCTCCTGGCCTGCTGCTGGACAAAGTGGTATTGCTGGTGGTAGTGGCAGTGGAGCACCAGGAAGTGGCTTTCAGGCTCTGAGGAGGATGTGAATTGGCTCCCTCCATTCTGGGGGCAGCACCCCTGCTGGAAAGGATCACCTGTTCTCTAGGATTAAGGCTCTGGGTGGATTTGATGCCAGGGTCATGGCTACATCATTGAGTTCCACTATGTCACTATGCTGCAGACCTCATGGTGGACATGATGAGATGACACCTGGGCCACAAGGATGCAGGAGCTATTGGGCCTCAGGGATGTGAAGATGTATGAGCTATTGGGCCCTAGGAAAAGTTGTACTTTTGTGGTGATTACACTCTCAAAATGTTACAGTGCTTCGCTAGTCTGGATCTCAAGGAAGGAGGAGGATCAAGAGTAAATTTCCACTCTGGAATAATGCAGTTGCATGGACTCCACAACACTCTCTATACTGGACTCAGGGCCTGTGAGGGCTGTGGGGCTCTCTTGTAGCCAGGACTGCAGGTGTTTATGATACAGATGTGGGCTGTAAGGGATTTCCTGCTTACCATATTCCCACAGCGGGCAGTCTCTCTTGGCTCCAAGCTGATCCATGTCAGCTACTTCACTTCCCTTGCTATGCTGCCACCCCTAGTTTCTGTGCCTCAGAGAGTCTTTGTGTTTTCTATGCTGAATTCCAGTGTTCTCCTTTAGACACTCCACTCAATATATAGTTATATATTGTTGTGTTGGTCCTTCTTTGTGGAGGTGAGTACTAGGTGCCTCTAGTCAGCCATTTTATGGTGCTCTATTTTTTCTCTTTCTACATTTATTATTGTATCTGCATAGAAAATGATAAATGATAAGCAGAACTTATTCTGGGGGGTTATTGGTGAACTTGTAAGGAAGCATAGGAGGGAATATTACATTTTTGTATTTTTATTTTTTAGTTATTTACAGTGTACTTATGTTACCTGTTCTGGGGAAAAAAATAAAGCAGAAAAAGGACTGATACTACCCTCTCATAAAAAAATAATGTTTATACTAAATACAAAGATGCCTAAACCATTTATGATTCTTTTTCTGATATTACACTTTCTCTCTTTTTCTTTGACAGCATCTCCATTTTTTCTCTGCCGTTCCATTGCTATAGCTATGGGAATCCATTTCATTATTATGGTAACAATACTGAGTGCCATATTCATAAATTGTGAGTGGTAACAGAAGTAAATTGCAGCATTGTTGATATAAGAATTCTAATGTATTACTTTGATTAGTATTCATAAACACAGAAACATAAACTAGTAATATTGTGTCCTTATCATATTTTTGTTGTTACTCTAGAAATTTGCAAACCATATTTGCTTAGACTGTAAGTTGTTGTCAACACAAATCTTTTTAATAATTATGATTATTTTAATAGAAAAAAAGATTACTCTTTTTCTATTTTTGCTGTTACTCTAGAAATTTGTAAACTATATTTGCTTAGACTGTAAGTTGCTATCAACACAAATCTTTTTAATAATTATGATTATTTTAATAGCACTATTCAACCAAGGAGTTCCAATATCCTTGGAAGGTAAGTGAATTTTTTAAATATTTTAAAGCATAAATTATGTATACACACACATGCAAACCAGGATATAATATCTCTATACAAGTATTATATATATAGTGTATATATATATATATATATGTCTTATAAAGTATAATATCTATCCCATGGTGTTTTAAAAGTATAAAAGAAATTATTAAATGTAGCCCATAACTAACTGTAGCTTTTACTTTTCTTTTAATAATGAGAGAGTATTTGTAAAAAGTAGAAAATCTTTAGGCTTGGCGTCTCTTTTTCTATGAATGTATGAAGATATGTCTTTGGGTATGACCATGTCTTAGTGATCTGAAATTTCAGAGTTCCCATGACAAAAGCTTTTAATTTGTCTAGACAAAATCTGCTGTAATATTTAGACATGTGAAGAATTCATAATATATTTTCCCTTTTTAGGAAGTTACTGTGGCCCATGTCCTAAAAACTGGTTATGCTATAGAAATAACTGCTACCAATTTTTTAATGAGAGCAAAAACTGGTATGAGAGCCAAGCTTCTTGCATGTCTCAAAATTCCAGCCTTCTGAAGATATACAGCAGAGTGGACCAGGTTGAGTATTTGTTTTAATTCTATATTCTATATTTTGTTCTAACATATGAGGCAGCTCACCGGAGTATGAACATGGAACATAAGAGAAGTACTAAAACTTAGATATTCTAATACTCACCCCAAATCTTCCCTCATTAAAAATAAATAAGGACAGAATTTTCAATAGTATCTATGTTTTGCTTAGGTGGGAATTATGCTAGTTAGGGAAGAAAATTCATTTTTTTCCAAGTGTAGGAAAAATTATTAAATGGTTATAGCCTTGTATTTTACTAAAATTGTGATCAGTGGTTTCATTGGTAGTGTATTTCTTATTCAAACAGGATTTCCTTAAATTGGTGAAGTCATATCATTGGATGGGACTAGTACAAATGTCAACAAATGGATCCTGGCAATGGGACGATGGTACCATTCTGTCACCTAACCAGTAAGTCTCTGGCCAAATAGGTCTCTGGTTTTTGTATTTTTTCCCTATGATCACTCTGATCTCTCATTTCACACCATCCCAGGACATTACCACATTCTAAAAGATTTAGCAAAAAGTGCTTAGGCCTCAAATTTAAGAGGGTATTGTGTTGGTTGCAGAGCATCCAGGACAAATAATAACTAGTTACACAATTTGAAAACTATATGCTAAATCCTGGGCAAGATACATCTACTATTATGTCCATTTTACAGATAAGGAGACTGAAGCAGAGAGGTTAAGTATCACATGCACTCTTTTTGAATTTATTACCAGATTTGTTGAGCTATAACTGATATATAATAAACTGCACATATACAAAGTATAAAATTTTATAAATTTTGACAAATACATACACTCATGAAATCATTAATAACATCAAAATAATTAACATATTAATTACCTAGAAAATTTTTTGTCTGTACTTTTGTGATCCCTTCCCCATGCCTCTCTCTAGTTACCTCTTTCTGTTCCCAGGCGACTAATCTGTTTTCTGTCACTTTAGATTAATTTGCAATTCTTAGAATTTAATATAAATGGAGTCTTATGGTATGTATCATTTTTAATGTGTCCTTTTTTCACTTAGCAAAATTATTTTGAGATTCAGCTATCTCATTGCATCAATGAGCAGTTAAATTATTTTTATTACTGAGAGGTACTCCATTATGGATGTAGCACAATTTATTTATCCTTTCATTTGTTGTTGTATATTTAGGTAGTTCCCAGTTGTTACAAATAAAGGTACTTGTAGAAAAGTTTAAGCTGTTAAAAAAAATAAAAATAAAAAATAACTCTTGTTCCTGTGAATATCTGTCTACAAGTCTTTGTATGAACAGAGATCTTCCTTTCACTTTCATGAGTATCTAGAAGCAGAATGGCTAAACCATATGATAGGTATATGTTTAACATTTTAAAAAGTACCAAACTGTTACCTAAAGTGGTTGTGAAATTTTACAAATTTTACATTTCCTTTAGCAGTATGCAAAAGAAAAATCTAAGGGGCAGTTTCCCCACATCCCAGCCAACACTTGTTTTGATTACCCTCTTAAATTTTAGAGATACCAATAGTTGTGTATTGGTATATCACTATGGCTTAAACTTGCATTTCTTTAGTGACTAATGATGTTGAGTATGACTTTTTGTGCTTATTTGCCATTCGTTTAAAATTTGTCTATTTTGGTGGAGCGTGGTGGCTCACGCCTGTAATCCTAGCACTCTGGGAGGAAGGGGTGGGTGGACCGTTTGAGCTCAAGAGTTTGAGACCAGCCTGAGCAAGAGCAAAACCCCGTCTCTACTAAAAAAAAAAAAAAAAATAGAAAGAAATTAGCTGGACAACTAAAACTATATAAAAAAATTTAGCCTGGCATGGTGGCTCATGCCTGTAGTCCCAGCTACTCCGGAGGCTGAGGGAGGAGGATCACTTTGAACCCAGGAGTTTGAGGTTGCCGTAAGCTAGGCTGACACCATGGCACTCTAGCCCACACAACAGCGCAAGACTCTGTCTCAAAAAATATATATATATACATATATATATAAAATTTTTCTATTTCACTAGTTTCTGCTTTGATCCTTATTATTTACTATTTTTACTATTTTCTTACTCTGGGTTAAATTTTCTTTCCCTAGTTTCTTATGGTGAAAGCTGAGATACTGATTTGAAACCTTTCTTCTTTTCTAATAAATGTTTTTATATTATTAATATATAAGATTATTTGACAACATCCTCCCATATTTAGAAATACTTTTGTCATTTCCATTCAGTTAAAAATAGTTTATATTTTCCTTTTGCATTCTTCTATAATTCATTGATCATTTACAAGTGTATTATTTAGTTTCCAACATTTGTGAATTTTCAATAAACTTTCTTGTTATTTATTTCTAATTTAGGTCCACTTTGATTAGAGAATATATGTTATATAGTCATGCCTTAAATTTATTGAGATTGGTTTTATGGACTAGATGATACTCTATAGTTTATCTTTGGAAATGTTTTATGTGCATTTGAAGAAAATGTCTATTCTGATATTTAAGCTTTTATTTAATTCAAGTACTTATATGAAGAGAGATTTTAGACTTCCAAATTGATTAATTTCCAATGTATGGAAAAAAACAATGGCACATTATTTGTAAGAGAATGTAATTTTTACTTTTATTATTCTGAATTGGCTATATTTTGCATCTCTGTGAACTAGAAGGGCCAGACATGGTCCTAAAATCTCCTGAAATGGTATTAAGTTTTATATCTGAAGTCCAATAAATATTTCATTTTTATATTACTGCATAAAAAATAAAAAGTCATAAATATAATTTGTAATTTTCTCTCATCTAGACTAACAGTGATTGAAATGCAGAGGGGAAGCTGTGTGGTCTATGGCTCAAGCTTTAAAGGCTATACAGAAAACTGTTCCACTCCATACATGTACATTTGTATGCGGAGAATTATGTAAGTACTTAATCAACCATCTCAACAAAAGCCAGAAAAATAGAAAGGACTCTACCAGCAGAAGCATGGCTGTGCCGAACTAAAGAAAATAGAAAAAACAGGACAACATGAAAAAGGACGGACTATCAGATTTCTTAGAACCTACAAGACCAGGCCATAGAGCAATTCAGCTGTGAACATTCTCCAAGACAAGGGAAGAAGGACTCTGAAGGCAATTCAGAGATTGTCAACGCTGCCACTCTTACCACAGGCCCAGATTGCATGGACTAGGGGAGGGGACTAGTCTTGATTCAAAAGGCGAGACCAACCCCCTGGGAGCAGTGAGGGAGGGGTGGCTCAGCCGAGTTCTGGGGTTACATACCCACCTCCACAGAAAACTGCTGCACGAGTAGGGTCACAGCAGAGCCACACAGTGTGAGCAGTGCCTTGCCCAGCTGTGGGGGTGGTGTGACACCCCAGTGGGTCCAGAAGGTGGAAGCTCCACCCCACTAGGTCAAAAAGGCAGAACTGCTGCCCCAGTGGGTTTGGAGAGCAGAGTATGAAACAAAACAGAATTATTCTCAACCCTTAAGATCTCCTGGAGTTTGTGTTACTAGGTCTTGAACTTTCTTGGGACCATTCGTTCTTCCTTCTTCCCTATTTCTCCCTTTTGCCATGGAAATGTCTATCCTATGGCTGTCTCACCATTGTATTTTGGAAATACATAACATGTTAGGTTTCACATGTACACAGCTGGAAAGGAATTTTGCCTCAGGATAAATTTAGTATCTTACGTCTCACCCATATCTGGTTTGATGATACTTAGATGATATTTTGGACTTTAGGCTTTAGAGTTGGTGCTGGAAGGAGTTAAGACTTTTAGGGTTGTTGAGACAGAATAAATATTTTCTGCATGCAAGAAAGACATAAATTTTGCCAGGCACAGAATGTTAAATGTTTGTGTTCCCTCAAAATTCATATTTTAAATCCTAACTCCCAATGTAATAGTATTAAGAGGGGGCATTTGGGAGGTAATTTAGGTTTGAAAGTTGATCATAAGAATTGGGTCATTCTTATCATACCCAAATAAAACAAAGTTGAGAAGTGTGGGGAACCAAGGAAACTTCTCCCTTTGCCTTCTGAGGGTTCACTAAAAAATCAACTCCACAAAAGGCTGAATAATTGGGTAAAAAAAAAAGTCATACAGATTTAATGTGATTAAATAAATCATATAATTTAGAGATTCATCTCTACATTTTTATTTTGACTTCAGCATAGGTAATGAGGGTGTATTCCTCATGAATGGGACTAGTGCCCTTATAAAAGAGACTTTAGAGACCTCTCTAGCCTTCTTAATGTCATATTAGGATACAAAGAGAAGTCAAGTCTGCAATCCAAAAGAGAGCCCTATCAGAACCCAAAAATGCTGGCATCCTGCTCTTGGACTTTCAGTTTCCAGAACTGATAAAAATAAATTTCTTTTGTTTATAAGCCTCCTAATCTATGGCACTTTATTATAGTAGTCAAAAAGAATGGCTTGTAGGAGAAGTGAAGATTTGAGTGCTGTCTTAGTATGTTTTGTGCTGCTATAGCAGAGTACCACAGGCAATTATAATGAGCAGAACGTTATTAATTTTCTGGAGTTCTGAAGGCTGGGAAGTCCAATACCAAGGTGCTGGTATTGGACATCTGGTGAGTTTCTTCTTATTGTGTCATCATATGGTGGAAGGTAAGATAGGAAGAGACAGAACCCATGCCTGAAATCCCATTTTTAAAGGCACTAAACACATCCATAAAGGCAGAGCCCTCTTGGCTTAATCACCTTTTTAAGGCCCTAGTTCCCAATACCATTATATTGGCAATTAAATTTTCAACTCGAGTTTTGGGGGAACACTTTTAAACCATAGCAAGGACCTTCAAATATCCAGTATCGTCACTCTAGTCCACATACCCACTAAAAATATTGCCAGCTTCTCTTTCCCTAATCATGGATTCTCTGCCTTGGGCAGGCTCTGCTCCATAAAAAACAATAACAAGAACAGTGGCAGTTTGCTGATTTGTTTTTCTTGCTCTAGAATTGAAGTCATTTGGTTCCATAGATTTCTGATGCCTTAAAAATGTGTTTTTAAAGTTTGTAAAAAAAAAAAAAATCCCTCATTTCCTGTTTCTACTTTTCCTTACATGTTTTATCTGGAAGCAGAAATGTTATCTGTTAAGGTCCTGATTTATTTTACAAATGTTCTTTTTTATCTCCCTGGGGTAACTTATGTGCATATATGGAAGTAACATTCATCAGGAATCAGGCAGGTGGGAAGGGGGAGGAGGAGATGAGTAAATTCACACCTAATGGGTACAGTGCATGCTTTCTGGGAGCTGGGCACTCTTGAAGCTTTTATAGGTGGTGCAAAGGCAATTTATGTGACCAAAGTGTTTATACACCCATAATAGCACTGTCTGGGGGGATGGACATGCTTGTAGCTCTGACTCAGGCAGGGCAAAGACAATATATGTAACCCAAACATTTGTACCCCCATAATATTATCAAATAAATAAATATATATATAATAAATTTAAAAAATAAAAGAATGCTTACTTTAAATTTGTTAAATATGTATTACTGTTGATATAATAAAAAATAGAAATTTTATTTTGCTATTTTTTAAGAGTAATGGTTCTCCTTGGATTTCCAGTAGTTTTTGTCCATGGTCCAACATCATCTCATGGTTTCAACAACTCTTAGAATTTGTGTACAGGAGAATAATAGGATGCCTTCATTTTTTCATGTTAATTTCAGTGAATTTAAGGACTCAGAGTACCCAAAAATATAAAAGCTTTCTCACAGTTTTGAGAGATGTCTGCTTACTAGTTTGTTTGTTTGTTTTGTTTTGTTTTGTTTTTTCTCTTCAGTATTGTATCATACCATTATTCTCTTTGAAATTTCGGTTGCAGCCACTTGAACTTTGTTTCAACACAGATCCTTTTCATAGGTTACTTGTATGTATTTCTCTCTGAAACACTCTAATCTCCTGGATCCCTTCCCTAAACTCTTATTGACATAGGACTAGGCAAAGAATTTATGAAGAAAACCCCCATTTATTGAATAAGGATTATTTTCCCCAGTGTATGTTTTTGTCTGCTTTGTCAAAGATTAGATGGCTATATGAGGATGGTTTTATATCTGGGTTCTCAGTTCTGTTCCACTGGTCAATGTCCCTATTTTTGTGCCAGTCCCAAGCTAATTTAATTACTATAGCCTTGTAGTATAGTTTGAAATCTGGCAAATTGATACCTCTCATTTTGTTTTTATTGTCTAGAATTGCTTTTGCTATACAGGGTCTTCTCTGGGTCCATACAAAGTGTAAAATTATTTTTATAGATCTGTGAAAAATGATGTTAGTATTTTAGTAGGATTGTTTTGAATGTTGTAGATAACTTTGGGTTGTATAGACATTTTAACAATGTTGATTTTGCCGACCCACGAGCATGGTATGGTTTTCCACCTGTTTATTCCTCGTTATTTCCTTCCTCAGTGTTTCATAGGTCTTCCAGTAGAGGTCTTTTGCCTCCTTAGTTAAATATATTCCTAAGTACTTTATTTTAATTTTTGCTATTGTGAAGGGTATTGAGTCTTTGATTTGGTTCTCAATTTGACTGTTATTGGCATATACGAATGCATCTGATTTGTGTGTATTGATTTTGTATCCTGAGACTTTACTAACTTCATTTATCGATTCCAGGAGTCTCTTGGTTGAATCCTTGGGGTTTTCTAGATATAATATCATATCACCAACAAAGAGTGAGAGTTTGATCTCTTCTGCTCCCATTTGGATGCTTTTAATTCCACTGTCATACCTGATTGCTATAGCCAGGACTTCCAACACTATGTTGAATAGAAGTGGAGATAATGGGCAACCTTGCCTTGTTCCAGTTCTAAGTGGGAATGCTTTCAGTTTTTCCCCATTCAGTATAATGTTGGCTGTGAGTTTGTCATATATGGCTTGTATCATTTTCAGGTAAGCCCCATCTATGCCTATTTTGTTAAGCATTCTTATCATAAAAGGGTGTTGAATTTTGTCAAATGCTTTTCCTGCATCTGTTGAAAGGATCATATGGTCTTTATTTTTGCTTCTGTTTATGTGGTGAATTACATTTATAGATTTGCATATGTTGAACCATGCCTGCATCTCAGGCATGAAGCCCACTGGTTGTAATGGCTTATTTTCTTGATAAGCACCTGGATTTGGTTAGCTAGGATTTTCTTGACAATTTTTGCTTCTATTTTCATAAGGGATACTAATCTATAGTTTTCTTTCTTTGTTGTGTTCTTTCCTGGTTTTGGTACCAGAGTGATGTTGGCTTCATAAAATGAGTTGGGTAGGATTCCATCCATCTCGATGTGGAATAATTTCTACAGGATAGGCATCAGTTCTTCTTTCTAGGTGTGGTAAAATTTGGGTGTGAAACCATCTGGCCCAGAACTTTTCTTTTTAGGAAAGTTTTTTATTGCTATTTCAATTTAGGCACTTGATATTGGTCTGTTCAGGAATTCTATTTCGTCCTGGTTGAGCCTAGGGAGGTTGTGTGTTTCTAAAAATTTGTCCATTTCCTCCACATTTTCCAGTTTGTGTGCATAAAGATTTTTGTAGTATTCATAGATTATATCTTGTATCTCCGTGGCATCAGTTGTAATATCTCCTTTTTTGTTACTGATGGAGCTTATTAGAGATTTCTATTTTCTGCTTTTCGTTAGTCTAGCCAAAGGCATATGAATTTTGAAAACTTGATAGCTACATGTAGAAAACTGAAACAGGATCCACACCTCTCACAAAAATCAACTCATGCTGGGTAACAGACTTAAACCTAAGGTGTGAAACTATTAGAATTCTAGAGGAAAACATTGGAAATACTCTTCTAGACATTGGCCTAGGCAAGGAATTTATGTAGAAGACCCCAAAAGCAATCACAGCAACAACAAAAATAAATAAATGGGACTTGATCAAACTAAAAAGTTTCTGCACAGCCAGAGAAACTGTCATGAGAGCAGACAGACAACCTACAGAATGAGAGAAAATTTTCACATGCTACACATGCTAAGGGGCTGATAGCTAACATCTATTTAGAACTCAGGAAAATCAGCAAGAAAAAAATCAAACAACCCTATCAAAAAGTGGGCTATAGACATGAACAGAAACTCTTCAAAAGAAGACAGAATAATGGCCAACAAAAATGTGAAAATATGCTCAACATCTCTAATCATCAGGGAAATGCAATCAAAACTACAATGAGCTATCTCCAGTGAGAATGGCCTTTATCAAAAAGTCCCAAAACAATAAATGTTGGCTAGATGTGGAGAGATAGGAACACTCCTACACTGCTGGTAGTACTGCAAGCTAGTCCATCCTCTGTGGAAAGCAATATGGAGATACCTTAAAGAGATACAAGTACATCTACCATTTGATCTAGCAATCCTATAGACACTCTA